GTGACCCCCAACCGGTCATAAGTCGAGGACTACTCAACCGGTCGTAAGTCGAGGACTACTCAACTGTGCAGCACCGTTTGCAGAATGGGACTTTTGGCGGGCTCAGCAGGGCAGAGACAGCCTGGACAATTCCTATTGGCTTTTGAAAGCCAATAGAATTAGACTCTATTCAAGAGAGTCTATTCTATTGGCTTTCAAAAGCCAATAGAATAAAAGGGAGTAGCACAGCTAAGGAAAAGGGAAAAAAATGGCGGACTGTGTTGTTTGGCGACCCCCCGTGAAATGGTTGTTCGACCCCAAATGGGGTCCTGACCCACAGGTTGAGAACCACTGGTATAGGATCTCCTCCTTGAGCAGGAGGTTGAACTAGAAGACCTTCAAGGTCCATTCCAACTCTGTATTTCTGTTAAAGCATCTAGTGAACAGATGCCTGGCCTGGTATATGAATTTACATCTTTTTTCATGAATTAACATGTTAACTTATATTTCTATTAAACTATTGATTGATTGATTGACTGATTGATTGATTGATTGATTGATTGCAATGGCAGAAGCACTCTATGTGAGTTTGGAGTCAAAGAACAAAATGGATATAGGAAGGAAGCAATATGACAGCTTGCTGAATACAAAATAATAAGTATTGTATGTAGGCTGAGGAGATGTCAATATTCAAACTATTAAGCCTTTTTTTAATATGCCACATTTGTGCTATATATCAATTCTGTAGATTAAATCTAAACTAGTCTGTTCTGTTGCTTTTGTTCCTGCTAAATTTTGGGAGGATCATATTCTTTTCTGTAGTGCTAACTCAAGGATGGCTGTGGACTATCCTTACCATGCCAGGGCTCTTGTTTTTGATACATATTTTGTTCCTGCTACAAGGAAACTTTGTTCTTTAAACATCTGTTCCTGGCAGATTATTTTTAAGAATGGCACATTTTCCAGGAACAAAACAATATGCCATCAGCAAACAGGAGTTTTTAGGAACATTGGCAAGTCTCACAAATATATCTATCTTTTTTTGGGGGGGGGGGAATCGGGATAAAGTAAACAGAAGATAGAAGGGGAAAAAAAATAGACGTGACCAATAAAGAAGTATATTTGTAGCTCAGGGCTGAAATGAGGAGTCCTTGGTGCTGTCTGAGCTTGGTTGTTTTCTTGTGCAGATGTTTCATTACACAAACTAGGTAATATCATCAGTGGTAGTGACTAGTACTGATGATGTTACTTAGTTTGGGTAATGAAATGTCTGTAAGAAAACGATCAAGCTCAGGCAGCACCAAGGACCCCTCAGAACAGACATGACATCTGAAAAATCTAGTTCTTTGCTTGTATTTTATAATGACCAAAACTTTAAAATCAAGCCTTATAACACTGCAAGAATCAATATTTGTTCTTCAAAATGCTAAACACACTAATGTAATAGAAGTATGTCATAAAGAACAAACAAACAGAAAAGAAGAAAAAAATTCTGAGAAAACATGGATTCCGTGATCAAGACATATGTACTCTGGACAGCTGCTCCTCACAAGGATTCCTCAGGACAGTGGTCTCCCATGGTTTAAATGCTGAGAGACAAATTGGCAATTGCCTGCAAACATGGAAGAAATTTTTATAGGACACTAAGTCCCCAAACTTCACTTTCTAATTACTTTCAGAAATTGTCTAAAGTTATTAGAGACATTTCGAATGAGAGGTTTGAAAAGTCTTCATTGGATATGAGTTTATCTTCAACTCTGAACATAAGAAAAATTACAAGCTGAAGATCTTAAAGAATTAGAAATAAGCCGCAAAACGTTAACTAAGATATTGATCTCAAAATGAATTAAGGATCCAAATAAATTTGAAAAATTGATTTTTATTATTAGAATTAATTATTTGCTTCTCATGGGAAACAGACTTATTTTGGCTATTCTGACAACTGCAAGTCATAAAAAAGATAATTGATGATTTTAGAAACTGGACACTAGAGGAGACTAAAGATTCTAAGCAGAAGAAAAAATAAATATAGTACATAAGCCTGATGTCAGTTAATACTGGAATTACAGAATGGCAGAAAACATTGGAAATATTAAGGGAGAAGCTTTGAAGAATGGAACAAGAAATTAGCAACTACAATATCAACATTCTCAGTAATGGTGTCTGCTTCTATGGACAGACTATGTCTAAAATAAATTAATAAAGAAATGACAAATGTGAAACAAACTTTATCTGATAAGATAAAATATAAAATATGGAAGTACAAGTGTCAGGCAAGAGAATGATTTAGAAAATAATGCTTTGCTGGATATACTAGCTAAAATTTTAAAAATTAAAAGGAAAATACAAATGATAAACTAAGAGGATGATCTGGAAAATGTTATTGGATCTACAAAGGATGCTTGTTAAAGTCTTAAAAAAACCTATGTAATAGAATAAAGAATTAAAGATAAATCAAATCCTACCGTATTTGAATTAAAGATTAAGACAGAAGTAAAAGGGAAAAAAGATATAAAGTTGAACAAGTTTAAAATAAGACATTTTTTGCAATGTTCAAAAACGCCAATCTTTTGTGGACTTTTTACTGTCATCCGGAATGAAAAATGGATATTTTATGATTTGTTTATAGATAAGAGATAGGATATGGGATGAAGAGATATCTATTTAACCTTATATGGGTGAAGTTTTATTAAATTTGTTTTTATTTGTTGTGATAAAAGTTGGAAGTCATTTCTTTATATATTGATTTTTCTTATTATTTCTTTTCTTTATTATATTCTTTTTTCCGCCACTATTTCTTCATTTCCACACTCTTTTCTTTCTCTAAGTTTAATATGTATTAGTTTTTACTATTACAATTAAAATTCTTGATAAAATAGCATTTTAAAAAAATGTTTAACTATATAGCATACATAGTGCCAGGGCAAGTATGAGGCTGGTGTGTTTGAAGCATGAAGAAGAAATGAAATGATCATGGTTTAATAAATTCTTCTGCATATTACATATGAATGGGACCAATGACGGGATCAGTACATGTACCTCTGGGATTTGAAAAAACAAAACTAGAGGGAAACTGAATGGAAAATAACCATCTGTTTGCAGTTGTTTCCTGAGGGGTAATCATATGAATCTGTTGCAACAACAATAAGAACAAAAAGCCTTATGGCATGTTTAAAACAAAGCCACACAGGACTTGCTTGCTTGCATCTATTTATAGCTATGTTTGTACACATTTTAAACATTTCTTCAGCATAAAAAGTCAATATTCAGTGATTAGCATTACACCTAAAACAAGTGATGCCTGTTTTCATTTGAACTGAATATTTTCTGAATATTATTTACATTGCAAACTGGCTAATCTTCAACAGTATGATCTAGGGGTGATAGATTGCAGTGGGTGTAAGAAATTCCTGAGAAATGAACTGCTCCAATTTGCAACCTTATACCCTCAAATAGCCCAGAACAGGCAAGCATGCATGTGAGAGCACACACACACACATGCGCACACACACACATGTGCGTGTGCACACACACACAAACTTTCAACCCTGTGCCTTCTCTGTCAGTGATGGCTTCTTATGGCCCTTTTTCAGGTCAGGAAGATCAGGATGGCACATAAGGGTCTGTCAGAGAGAAGAGGGGAATAACCTATTTTCCAAAGCACCTGAGGGCCAGACAACGAACAATGGAAACTGGTCAAGGAAAGATTTAACCTTGAAATGAGGAGAAATTTTCTGACAGTGAGAACAATCAACCAATGGAACTTAGCTTGCCTCCAGAAGTTGTGGGAGCTTCATCACTGGAGGTATTTAAGAAGAGAATGGACAGCCCTTTGTCAGAAATGGTATAGGGTCTCCTGCTTGGGCAGGGGATTGGACTAGATGACCTACAAGGTCCCTTCCAACTCTGTTATTCTAATCTTTTAGAAGTTGCCAATTTATGATGGAATATTATGGATGTCGGGAGTATATTCATAAAATGAGAATGCAGGAGACAAAAGAAGAGAAGACACTGAGACAAAGATACAGAATGGAAGAATACAAATAGGCCTTGACTTACAACAGTTCATTTCGTGTCTGTTCAAAGTTACAACACTACTGAAAAAAGTGACTTATGACCCTGTTTCACACTGCAGTACTGCAGTATTCCCATGGTTATGTGATTTACATTTGGGTGTTTGGCAACTGGGTTCACACTTATGACAGTTGCAGTGTCCTAGGATCATGTGAACCCCTGTTGCAATCTTCTGACAAGCAAAGTCAATGGGGAAGCCAGATTCACTTAACAATCATATTACTAACTTAATAACTGCAGTGAAATTCACTTAATAAATGTGGTACGAAAAGTCATAAAATGGGGAAAAACTCACTTTACAAATTTCTCACTTAGCAACATAAACTTTGGGCTCAATTGTGGTCGTGAGTCAAGGACTACTTGTATACCACTTCAATAATATCTACCTATTTTTTACCATCTCAATTTTTCTGTGTTATATTGTGTTATAAAAACTCAGTCATTGTCTTGGCTTAGCACACTTACCTCAAACTGTAACTCTTATCAGACTACTGAGTAATTCCATAATGAATCAAAAAATATTAAAAATCATTTACTGTAGAATGCCTTTCAAAATGCACAATTTACCCTTGTGTTTTAAAGCTTCCAATTAGACCTGCTAAGAATTAAGACACCTCAATTTGTTTAATCACTTATTTTGTCCCTCACTTTCCAAAGACCTAAAGGAATAAAGAATATTTCTGCCAAAAAGAACTATCTCAGTAAATGGTAAACTATTAGACCAGGGATGTCAAACTGATGGCCCATGGGCCGGTTTCATCATACCGGAGCCGCGCCCACCCCATTGCTGGCAATAGCAAAAAAGCTCCGATACGTTGTGCGACATCACGTGACGTTGCAAGTTTGACATGTCTGTATTAGACACTGTCAAAAAAAGCTGCTGAACAATGAGGTCACATACTATGGTTTCATAAGTACCTCAGAGTGGATCAAGACATTATTCTTACCTAAATCCTTGAGGACAAATGCAGGTGTATCCATTTACAGCATCTACACACATGGCACCATGGCGGCATTTGTGTCCCATGCAGTCATCATCATCTGTCTCACAGTGCTTTCCACTGTAACCTGGTAAGCATTCACACCTGCAACAAGACCATTAATGACTCCATTAATACAAAGTTGCGTATTAGATTGTATCTCCAAAACCTGTTCACAATATGCATGTATATGAAACAGACATACAACCCAAAATAAAATGGCACTTTAAGTCATAAACATGAGAGATGAAGTGCATTAACTGATATATCTTTTGTTTTTCCTAATGAGAGGAAAAATGCTTTCTAGTTTATTTCCATATGTGCATAAGTTTGAAAGGTGGTTGATAAAGCACAGAGCAGTGTTTCTTCAACCTTGTCAGCTTGAAGATATCTGGAGTTCAACTCCCAGAATTCCCCAGCCAGCACATGCTCTGAAACTTAGCTTTTAAAGTTACACACCAGAGATAGCAGATCTCTCTGGAAAACTGGGCAGTCTCTCAAAATCTTCAGTGTGATTTGGAATAGCCTGAATGTACAGCATAAGCTACATTTCAAGCCTCCCTGGAAAATAATAACATATTCAGATCAGTGCAAAAGAAATACATTTCCAAATTAACATTTAACATATCTGGAAAAGGTACTTCCATATACTTTTGGGCTGTAGTTACAACCATCTTTCTTAGAGTAAAAGATTGAAATAGAAAATGAGACAAAACTGAATCAAACTTAAGAAGCACAGATAAGTAATAGGGTTTAGCCAGTGCTGTTTTTCGAAAAAAAAAAAAAAAAAGGTGCCGGAACTCACACATGTCATACAACCCACCTTGCCTACCCTACAAGGTTCCATCCAAAAAAGGTGCCAGAACTCCATTCTGGGCGTTCTATCAGAAAAAAAGCCCTGGGTTTATCAACTAAGATCATCTTATTGGGCAGCAGAATGCAAATGTTTACGTTTCACCAAACTGGATACATTACATACATAGAAAATGACTTATAAGAGCACTTCAAGCATTACCAAAATCTTAATGGCTAAAAGTATATGTGCATATGTGTGAATGCAGCTGTACTAATAGATATTTTATTTAATGTATACTTCTAACAAATAGACTAGAGATACAGAGCTGTCATTAGAATAAAACACTGCAATAATTAATGCAAGATATTTTCTAAAACAATGATATAGATGTGTTCTAATTCTAGCAGAAGTTTAGTATACATTTCTGGTGAATAGTGGAAAGGGTTTTTTTTCCAGTTATATAGAAGTCTGGCAAAAAAAAATATGACATTTTTAAATCTCAAAAGATCAGACACCAGACATTTATTTAAAGGGGAGTCAATTCTAGAGAGCAGGAACTATATCGGAAAAAAACCCTCTAAAATGTGAAGACGCTATTTTAATGCAAGAAAAATTAATTGACCTTGATTGTACAATTTAGCTGATCTCAATGGAACATTAATTATAATCTAGTCACTGAAATAATTGAGAATTTAAATGGATATAGGGATTGGCTGATATGGGGATTGGCAAAAAGTAGATATTTACAAGTAGTCCTCAACCTTACAACCACAACTGAGCCCAAAATTTCTGTGAGTGAGACATTTGTTAAGTGAGTTTTGCCCCTTTCTTAAGTGAGACAGTTGTTAGGTGAATCACTGCAGTTGATAAGTTAGTAACCTGGTTGTTAAGTGAATCTGGCTTCCCCATTGACTTTGCTTGTCAGAAAGTTGCAAACCATGATCACATAACCCTGAGACACAGCAACAGTCATAAGTAAGAACCAGTTGCCAAGTATCTGAATTTGGATCACACAATCATGGGGATGCTTCAAAGATTGTAACTGTGAAAAACGGTCATAAGTTACTTTTTTAAGTGTCATTGTAACTTTGAACGATCACTAAATGAACTGTTGTAAATTGAGGACTACCTGTACTATAAACCTGAACAAGAGGATGGGCAGCAGAATTGGAAAGATCTGTCAACAAACTATAAATCCAAGCAGGACATCATTAAATTCAAAGGTAACTACTTAGATTTTCTGAAGTTTGATATGAACAAATTTCCTTTCTACTGTGGGTTCTTTAAATAAATCACTAAAGGGAGATTTCAAATAAAATTGATTGTTCTACCATAATACTAAACCTATTTTTATTTCCCTATTCATTATTTTGTGACTTAAGCCCAGTTAGATTTGAAGGAATTCAGCTGAATATGCATTCAGGCCTTTGTCAGTTTTGCAGCTAAATTTTATTGAGGAAATCAAGTGTTAACTTGCCTCTCAATCTAACAGTGTCATGATCTCTGATAAGATCATTCATTGTTGGTCTCCTTGCTGCTGGAATTCATCCACACTGGATTTCTTGCCAATCTACAAATATTCAAATCTGTTCAAACTGAATTCCTGAATAATTGCTTCAATTGATATTATAATAGTGGTTGTTATTCTCTACAACGGGGTGTTAAACTGCCGGCCCGTGGGCCAGATGCGTCATGGCAAAACTGCACCCACCCCATTACTGGCAATGGAAAAAAAGTTATGATACATCGTGACATGTCACGTGATGCTGCGAGTTTGACACTCCTACTACACAACATCTCGTATCAGTTGCAGTTATTCCTCAGTCTATACCTTTGAACTGAAAAAAGCGGAGACCGTCTCTTATTAAATCCAAAGATTACTGTTTTTTAAAAGTTTTGAAACAGCATAACAATCAATTCTAGCAATGTTTCAGGCATACTGGCAAGCAAATGGTGTTCATAATTATTTGCTGTGGAGGAAACAGCAGCATTTAATCCTCTTGTTTCATTGATCCCTGTTGTCCCAAATAAAGTGATGTAATAACAAATGATGCATCCATCCTCATTCAAATGGATCACATTTTTATATATATTGTCTATTGTCTATTCTAATGATAGAACCACTACTTTTCTTGAAAGACAGCATTAAATCAATGCTTTACCTTTTGTCAGTAATTCCATGCTACAGAATAATAGAATGTATTTATAACTATGCTCTAAGACTTTGGGCAATTGGAACAACAGCTTCCTTCCCTCAGAGATATATTAAACACACACGCACACACACACATATATATATATATAAATCCTTAAGATTTAAGATCCTTAAATGTTAGAGCAATTGGGAGTTGTGTTAAATACTACCTCTGGTTACCTTCATTTCAGATCATTTATATTGATTTTGGCCTCAGGTTTATTGAAGGATCACAAACCTGAAGCCAAACCAATAAAAGTTGTCTGTAATGAAAGTAACCAGAAAATAGTGTTACTGTAGTCAAATACTTTAAATTATTTCAGTTATTCTTTTCTTCTCTTTTTTAAAATTTGTCATTCCTGTATTTATGTGCTCCCTCCTCCCTCAGTCACTGCTGATCATGAATTTTCAGATTCCTTTCATCCCTGGAAGTGATAAATCAGAAGATAGGATCTCTTCCAAAGAAATAAATTGTAATGAGAGGCAACTCACTTCATCAGATACATAGACAAATATAGGATTTAAACTGGAAGGTCCATTTAGCTTTATTAAATCTTTATTGCTTAATTGAGATAGAAGTTTTAATTAACACATTGAATGCATGCTTTTGTTTTGTTTCATTTTGTTTATTGTTTTGTATTTTATTCTCCATATGTGTATGTGTGTGTGTGTATGTGTATAATTCTAGTTTATTCTGACAGCTGCTTTACCATGGGGCAGCTTTTAGATGAAACTCAAATATCAAACCAAAGAAATTAAGGCATAAGAAAAAAAGAAAAGAAAATGAAGCTAAATCTAATTTATATCAGCATCTTTATTATTGTATATCTCTATATCCTTGCAAACTATCCTTGCTTCCACTATTTCCATATACCAATTCATACAATGTTTTTTGTTCTTAATTCTTATCATCTCTTTATACTTGAGGAATTCCTTAACTCTGTCCAACCACAACTTGTTTGCTCTTCCCATTTTTTCATTCAAATATTTGTTTTGTGGTTTGATTCTCATTCTCCCTACACGATTAGATGTCATCAACAAGCTTTTTCATAAATGTCATTGGTTTCTGAGACTAAGCAAGAATCAATGTTTGTTTCTGTTCTTCCTTAGAAAAGATCATTTCCGACAATAATTTCGATGATTCAACTATTTTGTTTTACCATGGGAATAAACTGTGGCTTCATCCTATTTCTTCTGATTGGAAGTAAATCAAAAGTCATAATATATGTGTTTTGGTTTCCGTAGTAAATAATAACTATAAATTGGCAAAAAGGAAAACACTTCAGTGGGTTACTTAATGGGGACACAAAAGGAGACCCCAAGTGGGCATCCTCTGGGCAACGGTAATGTCATCAGTTGATCCTTTCACCATGGAAGTGTTTTGGTGCTTTCGACAGGGAAGTATAGTATAAGGAAAACATTTCCTTCATTTTTTGTAACTTATATAAGGAATCACACCTATTATTTGAACAAAAAAATTCAAATTTCACTTGCAAATACAACAACTATATTTGAACAAATACAATTAATGAATGGATGTGCATTTTACTTTCTCCCCAGGGCTTGCTTAAATATAGTATGCAATGGGGAGAGATAGTGAGTTTATTAGCTTGGTCCGGAATGAGAGGTCCTTGGTGCTCTCTCTAAATTTGGTTGTTTTCTTGAAGATGTTTCGTTACCCAGACTAGGTAGCATCATCACTAGCACTGATGATGTTATCTAGTTTGGGTAATGAAACATCTGCAGGAGAACAACCAAGTTCAGAGAGCACCAAGGATCCCTCATGTCAACCCTGAGCTAAAAATATTCTCCGTTACTGATAGTCTAGAATGCTAACACAGCTTATTTATTAGACTATATAGCTAGTTAACTATACTTGCAGTGTTATCATATCTGAGGAACATCATACAAAGCTTAGAAGATGTTGTATTTTCCTCTTTAAAGGCAGATTTTTTTTTTCTCAGAGAAAGAAATTAAACTTTCTCTTTCTGTTCCTAGTGAACCTCTAAAGCTACAACTTCCTGTTATTAAAAAAATGAAGGTATGTTGACTGAAAGGCATGCTGAAAAAAGGAAATATCCCCTGGAACAATTCCTTCCTAATTTCCAAGCATGTCCCAAACTGATACGTAGTCAACATTAGCCCAGCATTGGTTTCAATGGCAGTAAACTGCTCTGCTGGAAAGTGCATGAAATAAAGTTTCTTCTTCCATAGTGATATATGCCTACTGAAAGGCCACCAAATCTCCTGTAGTAGGGCAAATTATTCAAAACTGGATAAACAATAGAAATTATTTCTTCACTAGACTTCCTTGATTTAACTTACTTTGGAATCGTGTAAAAGTTCAGTGGGAGATCAGTTCTTTTGAAAGGAGATCTCAAAGAACTTTCCAAATCAATAAAAAAGTGAATTCTTATTTGGAAAGTGATTCTGTGTAGAACCTTATTTGTTTATGCTATTCCATAAAATGGTATCTACTGAATATCATATGCCATTTCTATTATCCTTATAAGACCACACTTCATAATTGATCAAATAATTTTGACTCTATTTTCCTATTATTCAGATTCCTTTTCACTTCCTCCGTATTCCTTATCACCTCTCTGTATTATTTTCTCCATTGTTACAGAATATGCTCTTGTCTTATTGGGGTTAAGAAGATAAGAAAACATAAGGTATGAGATTTAGTGGCCAGATGTATGGTTTTATTTCCTTTATCTTGCACACTTTTTTGATGTGTGCGTGTGTGTGTTAGATCTTAAATAGGACAGAGGTCCCATCTTCAGTTCAAAGGATGGAGGGCTCTATAGCCGGGTGAATAAAGATGAGGAAGACAAGAAAAAATTGTTGAGTGAGGAGTTTAAAAAGATAAAGTGGAAACTGCTGGACTAAGCAAGAGAATCTTTTGTTTAAAAAAACCTTCAGCTTCATGAAATGTCAGTATAAATTCTCTAAAAATGATATTGCACATAGAAAGACACTGGAATGTGGCAATTAGTTAATAAAGTAATTCAGACTTGTGGCTTAATATACAGTATTTTATCATATCAATGGTACATACTTACTTATATTCTCTATCAAAAGAAATACATTTGGATTCATGTTTGCAAGGGTTTAGTTCAGGCACACAATGATCGATTACTTCATCACAGAGTTCTCCTGAAATAAAAATAAAGAGAGCTTTTAATATAAATTTAGTAGAAGTTTAGTTGCGTGAATTATAATTATAATTAGAACTAAAAATGCTTATGAAGAAGTTATTGAGGAGAATGATCTTACAACCCTTTTTTTTTTACAAAAAGACATTTCACTTTTTAGACATCCCACTGCATTAGATCACAACCTACTACTTGACAAGATAGAAAAATGTGGGGTAGACAGCATCACCACCAGATGGATCCGTAGCTGGCTGACCAGCTGTACTCAGCAAGTGGTCCTCAATGGAACCTCATCTACATGGAGGGAAGTGTGTAGTGGGGTGCCCCAGGGCTCTGTTCTGGGCCCAGTGCTCTTCAACATCTTCATCAATGATTTGGATGGGGGGATAGATGGGGAACTCATCAAATTTGCAGACGACACCAAGCTGGCAGGAATAGCCAACACTCCAGAAGACAGGATTAAGATACAGAAGGATCTGAACAGACTTGAACACTGGGCGCTATCTAACAAAATGAAATTCAATGGTGAAAAAAGCAAGGTTCTACATTTAGGCAAGAAAAACCAAATGCACAGGTAAAGTATAGGGGGTACCTTGCTCAATAGTAGTAACTGTGAGAGGGACCTTGGAGTCCTAGTAGACAATCACCTAGATATGAGCCAGCAGTGCTGCAGCTGCCAAAAAGGCCAACACAGTGCTAGGCTGCATTAACAGAGGGATAGAATCAAGATCACATGAAGTGTTAATACCATTTTACAATGCCTTGGTAAGGCCACACTTGGAATACTGCATCCAGTTTTGGTCACCGTGATGTAAAAAAGATGTTGAAACTTTAGAAAGAGTACAGAGAAGAGCAACAAAGATGATTAGGGGACTGGAGGCTAAAGCATATAAGGAATGGCTGCTGGAATTGGGTATGTCTAGTTTAATGAAGAGAAGGATGAGGGGGGACATGATAACAGTGTTCCAATATCTCAGGGGCTGCCATAAAGAAAAGGGAGTCAAGCTATTTTTCCAAAGCGCCTGAAGGAAGGACAAGAAGCAACGGGTGGAAACTAATCAAGGAGAAAAGCAACCAAGAACTAAGGAGAAACTTTCTGACAGTTAGAACAATTAACCAGTGGAACAACCTGCCTCCAGAAGTGGTGAATGCTCCAACACTGGCAGTTTTTAAGAAGAGACTGGACAGCCATTTGTCCAAAATGGTATAGGGTTTCCTGCCTGAGCAGGGGATTGATTGGACTAGATGACCTCCAAAGTCCCTTCCAACTTTACTACTACTGCTACTACTATTACTACTACTATTACTACTACTACTACTACTATTATTATTATTAGCCTGTTAAACCAAACTACTACTTTTAATGAAATATGATCCAGATAATTCTGATGCTATAATTATCCATATTATACTTGAAGGCTAGTGAATACAGCTACATTTTAAAAGGCACTCTGATTGCATTACTGCCTATCCTGGGGTATCCAGTTTGTCCTGAGTCCAGTAAAAGTTTTTTTTTTGTTTTAGCAAAGGCTTGAATGCAACTTGGTATATTCACAACTTGTTAAAGACTGAGTTTGTCCAATCCAGGTTCCTATGAAATTTCCTCAACAGCACTGGTCTGTGTCCAGTGCTGTGCTTCAAACAAAAGCAGGAGTCCTTAAAGCTGAAGCTAGTACATGGATCAATATCTTCAAATTTTCATAATTTTTCAAAAATGGGAGAAAGCAGCTGAAGGAAAAGCTGCATTACCAGTTTCTTCCCTCACACATTGATTATAACAGGTTATGACTCAGTCGAAAAGAACATAGACAAGTATTTTCTATAAAACTACAGAGTGAGAGCTATCTAATTCTTGCTAATATCTATTTAAGTAATCAAATCACCAGACTTAACCCTGCATGTATCTCAATCAAATTACCATGCCAAAATTCTGAACAGCTCTGACACCGGCACTCTGTAATGCCTTATAAACTGTTGTTTTTGGAAGAAAAATTCCAGAAAATCCCATAAAGTTAGGGGATTGTCATTGGAAGTCAAGAGCAATTGAAATAACAGTCCACATACTATTTTATTATCAATTTTACCATGAAATTCGACACAAAGTTATTGTGCCCTTATTACAGGTAGTTGTCAGCTTACAACCAAAGTTATGAGGGATATCCCTGGAGGTATTCATGAATAAATAAATGAAATTGGCATAGTTGGTTTCCCACTACAATCACATGACCACACTTGGCAACTGGGCTGCATTTACGGTCATTTGCATCTCATGATCACGTCATGACTTTTATGATGTTTTGTTGAAAACCAGAAGTAAATGCCTTTTTCTTCTGGTTTTCAGCACAACTATGCCTATGCAAATCACTGGCTATGTAGCAACCATTGCAAAAAAAATCATAAAATCAGATTGTGATAGGCAGTGTCCATTATGGTTATAACTCAAGGACTATCTATATCTCTATATTCATGTTGCACTGATTCCTTTTATCTCAGTTACCTTTTAGCTGATCAGAGTGATATACTGTCTAACAATATTGACACATTTTGACATATAGCCGGCAAAATCTGTAGGATTTTACTAAGAACTAAGTAACTATATTTTTACATTTAGCTTGTTTCCCTTTTAAATACTATTTTATTTGAGCAATCTTCTTTTATTTTATTCTGTTATATTGTAAGACTTCTCACTGACTAAAGTAAAGTCCTTTGTGTTTGAAAGTACTGATGGATGTGGTGATTCACAACATAACTATTTGCCAGTTGGTGAAGATGTCTCCATCCCTTTCTATGTCATAGAACATTCTGTTTACCTGTTTTTTTTTCAGAAATAGAGCATATTTTAGAACAAGACACCATGTTGTAATAGTTATATTTATAAGTACATTTGGGGCCCAATTTCTTTTTTTGAAAAGACAAATAATACTAAATGCTGATTCTTTGGTAGAATGCAGCTTCCACTTTTTTTTTTTTTAAAAAAAAAGAAAGGTTAAAAGAATAATCAAATCATTTAAAAAATCTAAATGAAAATCAATGATTGGTGTGGCATAGGATGTTGCAGGTGAAGAGGGAAAGATCTATTGGATATAGTTGTTTGCACTCACTATAGGACCTATACCTCAATAGCTAAATACTTTCTGCCCCAAACTCAATGAGGAAGAAGCAATATTGTGCATTTAATTACCAAACACTAGAAATCATAAGTGGTATGTATTCTGTTATGATAATTCCATGTGGAAAGCATAATAATTAAATGAGGCCAAATGCATGCAAATATTTTCTAGTCTGCTGGGTTGGCTTTTGTTTTGCAGTCATTAAAAGCCATAATGAATCAGGATTAACATATGTTTCTAGCAGTTAATCCTATGTGGGTTAAAGGCCTGGAAACCTCCCAAGTTTCATTTGCCAAAGAACAATGCATTTCCCACTAAAGAAAATTTGCTTTCTAAAATTCTCTTCTGCCAAAAACACTTCCAGGCATATCAGTTATGTCAGAAATCAAAAAAAGCCATAAAGAAAAGGACAGGTACACATTCATCACAGATTAAAGATTAATGCCAGTATAACTACTCACTTGATCAAAACAAAACAAAAACTAGCCCAGTGATGGCGAACCTTTTAGAGACCGAGTGACCAAACTGCAACCCAAAACCCACTTATGTATCGTCGGGTACCAAGTGGGTGTGACCCATTGGGTGGGCATGGCCCATTGGGTGGGTGTGGCCCATTGGGTGGGCGTGGCCCATTGGGTGGGCGTGGCTGTAGTGGTAATGGCAGACTGGGTGGCACAAAAAAGTTCAATCAATCAGTTCCAACTTTGCGAGATCTTTTTTTTCCCCCCGCGAGAAGTTGAAATTCATTGGTTGATTGAATCTTTTTTTTTTTGCACACAGTGGCAGAGGCCTAAAGCAAAATGGTTTTATAAAATCCAGCTGAAGGTCTAGGACTGGGGCAATGGTGCACGTGCCCACAGAGAGGGCTCTGCGTGCCATCTGTGGCACACGTGCCATAGGTTTGCCACCACGGAACAGCCTATTGAATTTAGTGGGCATCATTTTTGAGGAGCGATGAAATACAAACAGTAAAAGTCCTACTTGTGTCAAAAACATTCCTTGATATTTTAACATCTTTTTATTTAATTGCTAGGATAAACTGTTGACAATATCCAAAAGACAGTGTTTTGTTCCAGTGAATATATATAATTTTTATTAAGAAAATTTTAGAACAATAAACACAACATAGAAATGTTGAAAGAAAAGAGTAAGGAAAGGGTAAGGAAATGAAAGAAAAGTAGTAAGTGAAAAAAATGCAGATAGAGAAAGGAAAAGTTATAAAAAAAGCACTTGCTGTTTTATTAACAGCCAATTGCATTTCTATTTTACCTGCTCTATAAGGTTACTTCTCCATTGAAATTTTAGATACAGTTTCTGTCTATCAAACATATACACTCCAGTGGAAATTAATAAACATCCAAGACATTCTTAAAATCTAATCATGAGAGACCAGTTATATTTGATTCTTGCAACAATCACATAATTCTCTTGGAGTAGAAATAAAATTCCTTCTTTCTAACTGGCAGTATTATAGTTACTTCAAATAGGGATGATCAGAGTTTTCTACTTTAATATTTTAAACTAGATAAAAGCAGCACTTGGCAATTGTTTTAGAGCAAGACAATTAACTAAAAGGAAGAAAAATTCTCCCTAGAACCTATGCAGATTAATCTGTATTCTAATTTAAAACAATGTAGATTCTTATTTTATTAAACTATACTTTCTTTGGCATTTTTCTTTTGATAGCTTCATGATATAATTCAAAGATGGGACTTCCAAAGCATCTCTACAAGCAGACCTGCTACTCTTCCTGGAGGAAAAAAGAATCGGTTTCAAGTGAATCTAAAACTCTTTTCAAATATAGCTGACAGAATGGTTCAAAGCTGTATCTTATAACAAAGCAATAAAAAAAATCAGATTTATCAGTATTATCAAGAAAGACTTTCTTGAA